GGACATCAAGTAGCCAATTGTTCATCATCCCACAGGTGCAAGGTTTGTGCACGACAACACCATAGTTTACTTCATCGCGGTTCACCTCCAGACCAACCAACAGCTACTCAACTATTTCCTACACAGGAGGCAGTCGTACATACACATATGAATAATTCATCGTTGGATAATGTAATCCTTGCAACAGTAAAAATTTTCGTTCGTGATTCAATGGGGAGCTATAGATTGGGTACAGCGCTGCTAGATTCCTGTTCGCAAGTCAATTTTATCACAGATGAATTTTCGCAAAGGTTGCTGCTGCCAAGAAACAAATATAACATAGAAATTCAAAGCATCGGCTTGTCATCAACAAATATTAAATTCAAAACTTCTACTAACATCAAGTCGCAATTCACCGCCTTCGAGCTTCCATTAACTTTTTGTATTACATCGCACATTGCTTATCAACCAGATCCGGAAATCAACATTTCAACATGGAATATTCCAAACAACATAGTACTCGCTGATGATGAATTTCATAGACCAAAGAAAATCGATATGTTGCTGGGGACGGAAACGTTCTTCAGTCTGCTATCTGTAGGTCAAATCCATCTTGGGTCTAATTTACCTATCTTGCAAAAAACGCACTTAGGCTGGATCATTTCGGGACGCTATAATACCGGCAGTAACAATATATCTAAACCATCTTGTTTATTTTTAGCCAATGAATCTTTAGATGCCAAATTGGAAAGGTTGTGGAAATTGGAAGAAGTTAGTACCATCCCAGAGCCTTGGACTCGTGGACAACAGATTTGCGATCATTTATACAATGCAACTGCATCAAGAAGACCTTGCGGCAGAATAGTTGTCAAACTCCCTTTCAAGGATGATCCGACGTGCTTGGGCGAGTCATACACTACGGCATTGCGACGATTCAATGCACAAGAACGTCGATTAGCTAAATTACCACAATTGAAAACACAGTACGTTGAATTTATGAATGACTACGAGAGCCTGGGTCATATGAGCATTGCAAAGAATCCAAATCTGAGCGAACCGCATTATTTTATACCACATCATTTCGTTCTTAAACCAGCAAGTACAACAACAAAGCTTCGAGTCGTATTTGACGCCTCCTGTCGAACTACATCCCAAAAATCACTAAACGATATTCAGATGGTTGGTCCTACAATCCAATGCGAACTTTTTATTCTTCCTCTTCGTTTCCGATTCAATAGGTTTGCACTCACGGCGGACATAGTCAAGATGTAGCGGCAAGTATTAATGCACGAAGATGATCGAAAGTTCCAATACATTCTGTGGAGGAGTTCACCGACTGAGGACATTCGGACATACCAACTGAATACTGTAACGTATGGAATGGCTGCTGCACCATATCTTGCTATACGGAGTTTGTTGTACCTAGCTGAACAGCATTCAGAACAATGCCCAATTGGCGCAAAGATCGTGAAGTCATCATTTTACGTAGACGACTTACTGTGTGGTGCTGACAGTCTAACCGAACTTTCACAGATAAAGCAAGAGGTAACACAACTGTTAGAATTAGGAA